GAGAAATCCCTCATCATCAGGTACTAGCACATATTTTTTCAACCAAAGTAAATACAGTATGAACTATAATTTAAAATGATTTTGTACAAATCGTTTTATTCACATGAACCAATTTTCAATTGTATAGAAAAAATAGCATGCTAAATTTCATTCATTTTTATGAATTATGTAATATTTGCTTTTATCACAGTTTATTTTGATTCGTCCCTGAAATCAAAATCGGTATTTCCACACCTCATATGCAAATTAGGTCCCTTCAGGAGTACCATTTTTTGAAACATAGCAGAAATAAATAATATTTAAAAGTACGATATTTTCCCTTGGGGCACATGAATATACTTGCCGAGTGAAAGTCCGCCCACAGGATACACTGCATCACTCGTGAAAATAACTTCCATACGCAACAAAAGCTATGGGGAGGGTGTGGGGTTCCGGCATATTATTATAACAACCAGTACCGGTAACATTTTGCATGGTAAATGCACATGCATAGCCAACCATTTACATGTATTACGATTCAATTCTCACTTGGTAAAAATCACCAGTGCCTGAAAGCACATCCATCAATTCTCATCTTAGGATGGCCATTTTTAGAAATTTCAACTGAATTGTTCTAAGTTTCAGAGGATGTTTTGGTGATCTAAATTTACCTTTAATTCATGTATTTGAACACATTATTTTAATATATGTTGAACTTAGTATGTAACGCATTATAACTTTTTGGGGGGGGGGGGGGCTGTAACAAACAAACATGCTATAACACGTACACAAAATCTATCAAAATAAGATTGGCAGCCAACAAAATAAGTGTTATTTCATAAATAAAGATACATGAACAATAAAGATAGTGAACTCTTTACTTTATTAAACACGCTGTGTGGGAATGAAAACACTTGGCACACAAGTCCATATTGACACACATAAACATGTACAAGTTACCGAGCACAAATTAGGCATGCATTTATAAGGAATGTCATCCCTTTAAAAAAAAAAAAAAGTACTGTAAAATACTTTTTTTTATAGTTGGAATTAATTTTCGCTAAAAAAGACTTTTTGAGTGTTTTGTATGAAATTTATTTTCACTGAATTCTGACAGAGTTGAATGTAAAATATAGGAAAAAAGGTATATCCGTTGAATTTTATTTTCACTGAATCATTCCTTGAGCAAAAATTAACTCCAAGCGAAAATAAAGTATTTTACAGTAGTGATAAATCATACATCAACGATCATTATTCAATTGTTATACCCACAGTATAGAGTTTTCAAGTCAGAATTCTAAATTTAGAATATATACTTTGAAACTCAATTTTATATACATGAACTTACCCAAAGTGACAGCTATGAATATTAATTAAAATTCATTTTTGTAAGCATAATCAGTTTGAAGGTCAGATGAATATTTGTTATTTTAATTTCCGGCACAGTGCTACTCATTTATGCCACACGGATAGAGAGATAATTAAAACTCGTACAATGTAGCAATTATAAAACTGTTACATAAGCAACAATTGGAATAACATTTGTGTGAAGTTTTTAAAATGATATTTCCGACCTTTAAATATATTCTTTGTCCACAAATTATGTAACAGATGATAGCATGACATTGAAATTAACAACTGTGTACTTGGATATTGGTTTGAATAAACACCAACTCAAGTACAGTCCCTGGTACATGTATAGACACACATAACAGTTACCATATATCATGGTCAGAAACGGTGAACTCTGCGCGTTTAAAGCCTTTAATTAGTCTTGTTGCCAAGCTAGCAGAAAAACAATGACACGCTGTCAGCCAAATTAATAGTTGTTTTGTATGCTTTATTTAAGTCTTATCTTGTCAAGTCATTGTAAAAGTCCACAGGGCTGGTGAATTATGCAATCTTGTGATATACCCACCATCAGTGCAAGTTATTGTTATTACACACAGTTATCTTCCTGTAGAATTGGTAAAAAAATCAAACAACTTGTTCTTGATGTGTCAATAGTAAATTACGAAGAAATATAAGGTGTAGCCTCTTATTTTTTGAGATTAAATTAAATTGTGTTTCTTAGCAGAGACTTTGATAGATTTGATGTTATCATAATAAACCAATTTTTGAAAAAATATCAGTTGTCGAACAGCATTGTACATAGGCAGTGATGCTCGCTTAAGTGAACCAATGTAGACGACAATCTATTATACTGGTTTTTCTTTTCCTTTTTCACTGAATATATCATAATGTCCATCATTTTACTTTAATTTCCCAGCATAACAAAAAATTAAATTCAATTTTCAAAAGCTACTGACTTGGTATCAATAATTGGTATTCATAATCTGGAACATAACGTTGAAATCATAAGCCATGGATAAATGGTGCATTATGAGCCATTTAACCATAGCTTGCATAAATTATATAGGATATCATCCAATCACAATAACGTACAGTACTTATGGCCCAGGTACGCTAGTAATACATGTAATTTATTTCATTGTATAAACGGTAATTATACAAGGCTAAATTTTTATTTTCATTGAACAAGTTCACAATTTGATTAACATTTTTGGGAAGTGATTGAAAGTCAGAATTTGTCAGTTATGGAAATATCAATTATAAAATCATGAACAAAATTATTCAAGCTCTTAAAACCCATTGTCCGAATCGCAGTTTCACTGTAGCCGACTACCCATGGCCGTTGCTACAAACCTGTGCGTAATCATACAGAGAAAAGCTGTTTTTGACGCCAAGTTAAAATGAATGGTTTGATTTGATGTGCTAAGAAGCTTGATATATCAATAGAATTTGCAGTCTTATATCACGTCATAGCTTTGCTAAAAAAAATCCAACTTTGTGTTTGTTTACCTATGGAAATGCGTCACAACATGAAAGAGTTCCTTAAGGCCCCTCACCCCTAACCTGAACCCTAAGCCTAACACTCCAGCCCCAATTGTACCGGTATTCAATATGCCCCTCCAAACAACTGTAAGTGACTAGAAATAGAGTATGTACAACTGAAATGGGGTAGGGCACTGGAGGGGAAGGGTTAGGATTAGCGTTATATGTGAGGAGGCCTTAAGGAACTCTTACCGGGCATTGTGTCTAGTTCCACAGCTTCATTATTTGGTAATTTCTACAAATATATGAAAGTCACAGAGAGTAACAGTCTCTAAAATAAACAGTAGTAATGACTTTGTATCTATAAAGTAGATAGCTGGTGGACATTATCCAGATAATGCACTACATACTGGGATAATCGGTCAGACTGCCTTGCGAAAACAAAGTTAGATCACTTGGAGTGTTGTAACAATGGTGAAGCGACTGCCAAATAAATGAACAAAGCATGGCAAAGATGCCTTAAAACCTAGTAAAAGTTTTTACAGTTTCAGGGTGTACGGTAGCATATTGCATCACCAAAACTGTCACAGTGCATTAAAATATTACTTATTCTGACAGGTAGAAACCTGTTATTTGTTCTTAGTTTACATGAAAAATGTCATTCCCGCCATAACGACAAACACAAGTTTTAGTCTGGCCATTCCCAGCTTCGTGAGAAACACTCGGTACCGGCGTCCAACGCGTAAATAAACGTAGCTCACCAAAGGCAAACACGATGACCCGTTTTATCGATGTCACATATCTCAGTTAAATGTGCTCGAAAATGCTAGAAATGAAAAAAAAATACTTCGCAGCAGACTAAATAGGGAGTCCAAGTTTTCTTCCTAGAATGGCTTGAACACAAGGGGCATACGCCACCAATTTTAAGAACATTCCTGTCGTTGAGCTTGCTGACTTGCTGCAGGAATTTTACACTTCAGCTTGCAAGCAAGATGGGGTGCAATACAGCAAGCCGTCGCTGCCTGGTTAACGAGGTTCAAACCATCGACACATCAATGGTCCTCCCGATCATCGCAAAATTAACATCATGTAAGATAGGGAGTTCCAAGTTTCTCTATTTTTTGTATACGTGTTATGTTCAAATGAATGCGTGTGTGTGAATGGGAATTGTTGCGTGAACGTGTTGATGTTAAATACAGTATACAGATTAGTAACAATGTACTCCCTGGTGGCTCATAATTATGTCATGTAAAGTGTGCTTTTGTTCATTATGAGCCACGGGGGAGAGGGGGTACATTATTGTTTAAATACAACATACATATTATTATGATGTTTTCAAATGATGCCAATTTTCAACTGATCATTTGATTCACAAAAACAAATATTGACAAACATGTAGAAAACAGTTGAAATAAAGGTGCAAGGGTTTTGTGCAGCTATTAATATAAACTTTCTTGTGATTCATAAAACAATTCATTGAAAAGCTGAAATGAAGTTGGCATTTGAAAAATATAATCCGCCCATGTTGTCAATATTTTATGTTTACTGACAGTGTTCAGTTACATTCTATAAGTTACTTCAGTTCTAATTTTAGTGTTCCTGATAATCTATTGAAGAAAAAAATTAACATTAAAAAACATGAACAAAAAAATAATTTGAATATTAGTCTTAGTTTATTGTTAAATTTTCACCCATCTAGTATATATCCCATAATACAAGTTCCCAAAGCTTGATAAATTGTTCCTTCAAATTCCCACACAAAAATGTTTCTTGTTAATTTATTATTTTGAAAAGTCTAGGGCATATTTAAAAAATAAAACGTTACATATAAGCGTAAAGGGATGAATGTAAACATTCATTAAGTGTGTCACTTCCGGGTGGTCGAGACTAGACTAAATTTAACGATCACTCACCTCATTTTGCCACGAATCAGAGAACCCTATATTACAATTGAACCAGCTTTATTTATTTATGCGACGGGGTTTTGGTCAGTAACGTGTTGGGGTCAACAGCCAGACGCTTAGGATATTTAAATGTAATAACCATTTTATAAGTAACTGAACCCAAATTACCCACGTGGAACCTCAAACGTGTAAAAAATTATGAATGAGATGGGGAAATTAATTTCTGGCAAGATTGCTTGGCCAACGGTTGCTGACGAAAGGCGTTTTTTGCGAAGTACTTACCACAGGAAAAATCCACCTATGTTACAACTGCTATCATCCAACTCCTGCACAACCCAAATACCAAGTCTTTTAATTTTTACAATATACCGATCAGAGATCCATCAAAAATTAGATTTCCAATACACCACCTACTCGTTGCAACAACTTGCACTGCACTGTGCACTTGTCTGTGTGTCGACACATCCGGGACAACCGCCAAAGTCTCGCCAAATCTCGTGACCTTTTGGGGGTCGTTCGAGAGCTCACCATGAAACACATGTGTGGAACAATTGAGCAGTAATTGCTTCGCAAAGAACACGTATTTATAGCGTTTTATTGTTTGTTATTTATCAAAATATGGTAATCTACTGAGTGAGTGAACATGGACCAAGACCGCGCCGCCGCTAGAAATGTAAGAATTTGTATATAATCGTGAATATTATAATAATCAATGGTCACGCCAATTTGCAGACGACATCATGTGTGATGGCCATGATGTACTTTTGGGATCAAAACAAACAGTAGAATCAGGTAGAATCTGTGTTGCGTACTTAGTTACTAACACCTGGTTCATCGTATATTCTTCATAGACAGGTGGTTTTTATATAGAGGTTGATTAATTAATTCGTGAATAAAAATATAACAATAATTTCGCAGTTCAAAGGGTAATTTGTCAATTATCGATTCTTATGTCATGACTGCGTACTGTAAAAGTATAAATGTTGTCAGTTTGTGAATAAGATGTTTGCAAAAAAAAATCTGTCAAATCGGTGTAACCTCTTAGTGTAAATTTTCTAGCAAGCCATCATTTTTTCTTTCTTCAGTTTAAAGACTTCCTAACACAGTATAATAAGTTTACTGAGAGTTGTTTTGGCCACTGTATTGCAAATCTCAACTATAGACTGTTGTCCCAGGAAGAAGTAAGTACATCAATATTCATTTCTTACACATTTGAAATGTCAAAACACTTTTATATACCTATATAGTTGAAAAGGCCCCCAGTTTTACCGTCATCGCTTTCTTGTTTCGAACGGCAACATTGCTGACTGATTTGCTATATGATCTTGTAATATTACGCCCTGATTAGAACAAAGTCGGTCAAACCAACCTCAACAGGATATGTCAAACTAATAGCGAGGGACTTGTTTGCATTGAATATACATACTTCTGTATAATCTGTATTAAGCCAGTGCTACCATTAAAACGGTGCTATGCAACAAAGGGGGATGAGAAATGGTGAATTTTTGATTCTAAATTGTTCTAAAACAGGTGTACCATTTCTATTTAGGAATCCAGCTTCTCATACAAATTTTACAGTAATAGACGATCCTGCATTATGTGTGAAATTGAATGTCAAAACAGTACATATGTACATAGGTCATAGTGTCGTAGTGGTCACAAACATTGCTTGGGATTCTAAAAAAACGTGAAAGTATTTCAATTGCTTAATTAATAATGTGCTGTACACATTTGATGATGACCAATTTCGATAAAGTAGGCATATTCAAATGCAATATTCCCCTGTCAAAGATCAGCCCTTCAATGTGAGCTATGAAAAAAATTAAAACATTCTATTTTTGCGGCAGATGTTCAGTGCGCGTCTTTCACGCAACTCGCGAGATCTCGCAGTTGAACAAAAAAATCACACTCTCGACAACTTGTATACTCGTAAGCCAAAGGCAACTGAGCTAACTATACAAAACTTCTCAATCGGAGTATATTCTGCCCTGCCTTCTAAAAAACTGGTATTACATAGTTTTGGATGACAGATTCCCATGTGAACTTACAATTGATAACGAATACAAAAAAAATATGTCGGGAGAGATAGCAGTAACCTCAATGATTTGGTGTGGACTAGACAACTAAAGATGTGTGAGCTGTACTATTGTTGTGCAAATATAATAAAACTTAATTCCATAATAGTGACCATGAACATAAAATATAACCTCATTTACAGGAATGGTGCAACACCACATGCTGTTTTATCCAACTTTGACCTTTTGATGTTACTCCTAATATTAACACAGTATGTCAACATAATAATTGTAAGTCAGAGTAAAGTCAAGTAGTTCCACAGTTCTAATAAACTCAAGTTTACAAAATATGATATTTTGTTTGATTATAGGAAGCCTGTATTGACAAATGTTCTTCCAAGTTAATCAACATTAACCATAGGATGATTGGAACCTATATGGAATTGAACCCTATGAACAAGAATCAATTTACAGAACAAGACTCTCCAGAATTAAAGCAATTAGCGGCCCAAGTAGAGGATATACTTGACAAAACAAATCAAGAACTGAGTAAAAATACTGAAGAAGGCACTACAAAAATTGAGGCAGTGGCTCCTGTTGTCAATGACCCTGTAGCAGCCGAAGTTGAACCCCATGTGGCTGCATCGAGTGATCAAAGTTAGCCTCACAGACTAGATATCTTATTTCTATTGTGCTTTGATATTAAATGTACTGATACATAATTATTGCGGAAGACAAACTACAATTTTTGTAGCCACCTTGTCTACCCTTTACTCCATAAAACACATTATTAAACATCTGTCACTGTAACGCCATAAGATACAGTGTGTTGTTATTTTGCGGTATTGCACGGGGTATTTTTATCCTACCATATTTGGAAATGCATATTCCAAATATGGAGTGATTGCATGCGAGAGCATCCTCTATTACAGCAAGTCTCAGAAGTATTGGGGCAGCCAATTTGCAAACTCGCTGGCGAATTGGCTAACTGCTTGGGTTTTGACTAAACAGTTGGCTTTCGAATCTTGCTGGCGCCGTCCTGTGGTCACGCCCACTCTGGGTGAATCTATATAACAGTAGGGGACAGTCGTCATACTTTAGTTGGATGGCGATTTCGCTTTCAAATATACCAGGGAAAGTGTTCTATTTTCTTCGTGGTGTTCGTATACAAGGGATTGTCCACGCAAAAACGATGAATGAAGTCGAATTTTATTAGCGGTTGGTTTAATGTTACCCCAACGAATCGTTTGGATGTGAAAATTTATTTTCTCCCTGATTTATAGGAAACTTTCTCAACTTGTCTCTTTATTTAGTTTCAATCAGTGTTCAAGATGGCTACCCCCATATAGTAATTATCAATGGATTAATCGCATTTATCATATTATCACCTGTACGCCAGCTAACTGTGGCCACTCTCAGGCTGACCATGGGGAAATACTTTCACATTACCACGCCTCGCAAAGCAAATCATTCGGGGGAATCCAGACATATACCAGGCTACGTAAAATCATACTATGTTTCCTAATGCAAAATAGATTGGCCCGGAGTGGACGCGACCACGAGTTGGCCCAGCAAGATTCGAAAGCCAACTGTTTAGTCAAAACCCAACATTTAGCCAATTCGCTAGCGAGTTTGCAAATTGGCTGCCCCAATACTTCTGAGACTTGCTGTAATGCAAAACAAACATGGCAGCCCCCAGGGCTTGACTGGACTTCCACACAAAGAAGTTTTCTAAATCTGTTCTAAACTTTTTGGATTTTGGCATTCCCATGATGTATCTTTGGGAGGAAAAGATGTATAATAATAAGGTTATTACAAGGTAACTGCAAAGTATACACTCAGACAGTGTGCCGTCACACCGACCTCTGCTGCACATCCGTGGATACTCCCGCTGTAGTGTATTCATGCATACTTTTCGGTATCCTTGTAATAACCTCATATTACTGTCTTGTCACTGTCTCTTTTTTGGCCGTATTCATAAAAAACATGCGAACAAACTTGTATTAGGTTTATGAGTAGTTTTTGATATTAAAGCTATGTTTTTGCACCAGGAGGGAAACCCACTATATGTGTCATATAGTAAGTGCAACAGTTGCTTTATTTGATGTCATCTTACAGATGCTTCTCACTAGTTGCCAAAATTTACCAAAACTTTTTCTATAGATTTATTTGTGATTGATTTTTCATCACTTAATAGGGCATTAAACAAGTGAATCGTCATCGTCAAATCATTGAATCATCAAATCATTACATAATTACATCATTGAATCACATACAGGATATTCTGGTGAAAAATTTGAAGATGCACATATCACAAAATCTTAATTTCTATGTGTAGCATTGGTGTGTGTGATGCATGCAAGACTTTGAGTCTGTTAGTCCCCGTTTTCA